CTACTATGTAAAAATATTTCTACTATCTACCAAATATGGAACCATAATGATTGCAACACCTTTTTTATGTATTATATATTCAAGGCATTTGTAACTTCGCCGAGCTAGAAACTTCCTTGACGAAGTTCCTTGACACGAATGCGCACGAACGCGTGCTGAAAATATATTTTTCCCCGCGTTAATCACCAGCCGGCTAATGCACGAGCGTCAAACGAGACTCTCGTCGGTCGTGCGAGTCTTTCCTGCGTATTAAATCGCGAAATTGCAGGCTTCTCTCGCCATCGCCACGCGACCTTAATAAATTTAACACGAGGGCGCCGCGCCGGCTCGTTACTCAAAGTTCTCGATCATGACGCCCAAGCCGAGGCATCAAAACAGGGACTAATGGACCGTTGCATCGGGTGGTACGAAAAAAAAGGGACGAGAACCCTCGGTTGCCCAAGTGTCGGAGAACGCTCTCATCAACCGAGGGTGTCGGTTCGCTTCCATAGTCGGCATAACGTAGCAGACACCCCGTCGCCACATTTCATTCTATTCATGAAGCACCGAAAGTTTAGAGGTATTTTATTCTTAAAAACGTCATGGGAGTTTCCTTGTCGAGTACTTTGGAAACTATACTACGGTTTATTTTGTATACGAGAGTGTCAATCAATAAATCAATTTTGTGCAAGGTCCGCGACGTCTGCAGACATTCCCTTAAAAGGGATTATCAATAATTATCAATAATTTTATTTCTATAATTAATTAGATATTCTTCACGAATTCCAATCCAATACGCAGATTTTTCTATCTTGATAACGGACAGATTTTTTAGAAAACCTAAATACACATTTGTAATATAAAATTCATAAAAGATTTAGTTAACACTTAAACCTTTTACATATCTTACCGTTCCGATGATGATTTCTTAGAGTCAAATATAAGCTCTAATTATACGGGAAAAGCACTCGATCTCCTTGTGAAATGTTCATACTGTAAACAGTGCGAATACTGGAAGCCGAAAATGAACACCATGGAATACGAGGTATGGATGGAATCCCATGCAGACGAATGCAGTGCGAATCACATTGGAAGTGCCGGAAAAATGGAGGTGGACGCGGCTGTCGAAATGTTCTCAAGATCAGAAGAATTACACAACATTAGATATTCTTCATATATTGGTGACGGCGATAGTAAAACTTTTAAAGGCATTTTCGAATCTCGACCTTATGGTGAAGATTGCACTATATTGAAAAAAGAATGCGTTGGTCACGTACAAAAAAGAATGGGAGCCCGACTTCGGAAATTGAAAAAAGAAACGAAAGGCCTCGGTGGTAAAGGCAAGCTCATTGATGAGCTGAGTGTTTTTACGGCTTAAAAAATCTTAAAAATCTTAAATCTTAAAAAAGAATCTTGCGGAGGAACAAACGTTAAGGATGCGCAAGAATTTAAATGTTACTAAGTAAAATTTTCAGAAACTCTCATTCCGAGTTTATGTTCAAGAAAACTTTTTTACTCTGCTTTGTGTTCACAGATGACGACGCAAATTCCACAAATGATGAAGGATTAAAGAAGGTAATGTACAAAATAAATATTGGACTGTCTCCCCCCCCCCTCTCTCTCTCTCTCTCCATCTCTCCTTCTCTTGCAATTTCGGAATCGCGCTGTCACTCTTGCTCTCGCATTCGTATTCTCGTTCTCACTCTTTCGCTTAGGCTCTCTCGCTCTCTCTCTCGCGCATACGATCTCTCTCGCGCTCTCGCTCTCTCGCTATATAACGCTTAATTATATTGCTCTCTCTCTTGCTCAATCGCGGTTTATTCACGCGTCTAAGACGCAAAGTAAATGTACAGCCTTTTCAGAAAATTATGTTAGACGAATTTATGGATTGGGAGTGGTTGGAGGACCCAAAGGATGAAAACATGGATTGGATGCCAGCAGAGGATGAATCTATGGAATTAGAGGTACTGGTGTTATTAATTAATTTGATTAAACGATTATAACTGTACATTGTACTTATACATACCGTCCATGGGATTACAATGAAAGGATGTAGATAATTCTTAAAGGTTGTGTCTCTTATCCTTTCAATAACCTCTAGATTTGATAGAAACACACTTGTGTCGACAACAATTTATATTGTAGACAAAATTCATATTATGAATGTGTTCGGCCGTTGTAATCGTGTATCTTCTTCCAATACTGAACATCTTCATTTTGCATGAAAGTTATTGTAAATAAAATTAATATTTAAAATATATATTGTTGGGATGTGTGCCTACATGCGAATATGCGGAATTGCTATGTGAAATTATGCGAACTGAATGTATGCGATGATGTAGGCTTTTGTCGGTTGTTGATTAGCAACGCAGAAAGAATCGGACTCCCGAGCTATAAAGGACTTCTGTATTTGAGTAAAGATTATTTTGTGAGTTAACACGCACAAGCTGAGTTATTATTATATACATATTACGGACCTTCCTGTACTATGTAACCCAACATATATCATACTTTTTTTTACATAAGTAGAAGTTGTCAAAACCTGTCTTGATAAAGACACTCATGTGGAAACCACCTACATGGCACAAAATATCGTACAGTTGACACAACTGAATAATATAGAATCATATTAAAATAGTCAACTGTACATTGTTGTCGACACAAGTGTGTTTCTATCAAATCAAAGAGGTTATTGAAAGGGTAAGAGACACAACCTTTAAGAATTATCTACATCCTTTCATTGTAATCCCATGGACGGTGATATGTGTAAGTATAACAACGTACAGTGTATCAGATAAAAATTCTCTTGCATTTCCATATTTAACATATGCATTTCTTTTTTGAACAATTTTTGCAGGAGACGAGTACATAGACACGAGTACATGGCAATAAATACAGAAGCTTTCACTGAGAAAAATTTCCATCAGATAAACCAATTAAATAGCGTTTCCGATGATTAATTTTTTCGATTATGTGTTCCAATTATATCATGGATATATCTGATAAAATTTATCCAATGAAATGGTTACCGATAAATGGAGGTGGACGCGGCTGTCGAAATGTTCTCAAGATCAGAAGAATTACACAACATTAGATATTCTTCATATATTGGTGACGGCGATAGTAAAACTTTTAAAGGCATTTTCGAATCTCGACCTTATGGTGAAGATTGCACTATATTGAAAAAAGAATGCGTTGATCACGTACAAAAAAGAATGGGAGCCCGACTTCGGAAATTGAAAAAAGAAACGAAAGGCCTCGGTGGTAAAGGCAAGCTCACAGCAAAGCTCATTGATGAGCTGAGTGTTTTTTACGGCCTCGCAATACGAAGAAATAAAGATTCCGCAGAAGACATGAAGACGGCAATCTGGGCTACGTTGAAACATAAATCGTCGACCGATACAAATCCGCAGCACGATAGCTGTCCGCCTGGGGATGACAGCTGGTGTACCTGGCAGAAAGCAAAGGCTCAGGGCAAACTGGCCGAGTATTCACATAAACCGGCTCTCAGCGATTACGTGTTGAGCGCAATCACTCCTATCTACGAAGAGCTAAGCAGCGAAAATTTACTACAGCGGTGCATAGGAGGGTTTACGCAAAATAACAATGAAAGTCTCAACGCTCTCATATGGTCGTTTGCTCCAAAGCGAGTGTTCAGCGGCGCAAAGACGGTAGAAATTGCATCATATTTGGGAGCGAGCATTTTCAACGAAGGTTACGCGAGTCTTCTAAAAATGATGCACATGATGAATATAATAATTGGACCAAATGCCGTTGCATTGTGCACAGAGGTGGATGACACCAGGATATCAATTGCCGACGCGCGATCATTCGAGGCCTCAAAAGAGGGAAGAGTCGAAAGAAGAGCGATGAGATCGGCTCTTGAAGAAGATTTTTATGAAGAGGAAGGTCCCCTTTATGAGGCAGGAATGGCAGATTAAGGGTGAGAAGCTTAAATACATTTTTTCACTGAAAAAACTAGTACCAAAACTTTAAACGCGTTTTTCTCAAAACCATGTTTTTCAAAACGGTGTACACGATATCTCGAGATATAATTGACGAATCGACTTGAAATTTGGTATACTTATTCTAAGGACTAGTGTCTTTCCTTAGACACCTGATCTTGTAAGGTTCTTTTTGTGAATTCATTATCAGTGACAGTAAAATACGAAATATGGAGCAGATATATTGGAGATTTTTCGCCACGGCCTACTATGGCACACAACTTCCTGCAGAAAACAACCCTTCAACAAGTATATTC